TGGATCGCCAGGCAGCGTCTACCCATCTATCTGTCTGTTAATCTAGCTAGTTGGGTATCGAGCTTTCCTACTTAGTGCTTTCTTCTTGATACAACAGTAGGTATTATAGTAGAGCGATCCACACAGAGACGCATCTATACATTTGTATATGTATATGTGCATGTAAACATGCGCACATATGTATGTATATGTGTGTATATATATATATGTGTGTGGATATTGAAAACTTTCTGTAGGCATCTTTACATTCATTCGAGCCCTTTCGTTTTCGGTGCTAGTTTCTGAGTGGCTTTTCGCTTTTGAGGGTTTCAAGGCGTTTATGGGCATTCGATACCTCTCCATGCTCGAGACTAGGGGCCCGGCTCCCTTTTCAGGCGCTTCCCGGGCTGCCTTCGAAGCCGCGAAAGAGGGATCCGATTCCTGCAACTCCGCCTCCTCCGTAGTGGCCTTGGGCAGAGGGCAGGACATCGCCTTTGTCTATGCCGATACGTCCTCATGGCAATTTCGGCCCCTTCGCTGCCGGTGAAACCGCTCAAGCCGTTGCTATTGAAAAGGTACGTGCAGCATTGAGGCATTTGCCCTGAAGCTCTGTACCCTTCGCCCTGTGTTTGTTGTTGCCTGTTGTTCTATTGAGCCTCTTTGGGGTTTAGTGGTGGCGGGTCAGGGGTCACAAAAGCCTAGGGGGGATTCGGCGCATCGGAAGCAAGAAGGTCAGTGCTTCGCGTGACGCCAAGGCTAGCCAGCCAGATTGCTTTGCTTGGCCCAGTCCCGTGACCGAACCTTTTGTCAGCCAGACAAAATAGTTCAGCATCATTCCGGCTTTACATAGAAGACGCCGAGAGATGACTACAGGCTTGTCCAGAAAGTTCGCTTTGCAAACTTGGTGCTCCTATACTAAACCTCTATGGGCATCTTACTGGACACGCCATCGATCCCGATAGAATTATGCATAACTTATGCCAAAGCATGGAGCAGTACCACACAATCCAAAGCGCAAGAACCTGAAACCCTAAACCCTAAACTTCCCTAAACCCTAGACCCTAAAGCCCTAACCCCTAAACCCCTAACCCTGTTCCAACCCTCTTCCGCCCCTCGGAGCCGGAGGCTTCCAAACAGCGCAAGGTGGGCCGAGATGCTCGTTGCTCTGCGCTGCAAAGATTCGCCGGGGGCCCATGGAAGTGAACGCAGCTCCTGGCGTTTAGAGGTTTCGGGTTAGGGTTTAGAGGTTCAGGGGTTTAGGGTTTAGGGGTTTACGGGGTTTAAGGTTTAGGGGTTTAGGGTTTCGGGGTTTAGGGTTTAGGGTGTTTCGGGAAGCGAGTTCGGGTTTCAAGGCCAAGGCTCCTTCTTGGTGGATGCGGGGAGTCCGGCCTCAAAGGCCTGGCGGCCTGATGTGTTAGTTTGGGTTCTACGGGTTACCTCTCTCTCTCTATATATATATACACACACACATATACATACATATATATATATGTACTTTTTTATATGTATTTCTTTATGTAGTTGTTTATTTCTATATATGTATATATAGATAGATAGAGAGAGTGTGGTAGGCAGATAGGCAGTTAGATACATATAGGGTTTCTCAAAGGTTTCATATAGAGGGTCTAGATGCAATCATCTCCCTTGCTTGTCCCTTATACTCAATCAGTAAACAACATCCCTTTGCCGTCCCTATACAGCTGGTCCGAAAATCCCCCTTGAAGTCCCAGGTTAGCTGCATGGATCGCCAGGCCTCTAAACATTAAACCCTGTTGCTGCAACTCTGAAGCATGAAGATGAGAAGCCCGGCTTAGCCTTTAGCACTCAAGCTTAAATCCTTGACATGCAGCTGTAAGCCGTAGCACAGAGGCAAGGAGAGTGGTGAACCCGGGGTTTGTCGGGTCATGCGTGGAACCCGCCAAGCTGCTCCAAAAGACGCCTTGCCACATGATGGGTGCAAACTTGCGCTCCTGGGTATATGAAGAAGTCTTCGCAGACCTGAAGCCTTCAAACCCTAAAAACCCCTAAGGCCTAGACATCCCTAAACCCTAAACCCTAAACCATCCCCAAACCCTGAACATCCCTAAGCATCCCTAAACCCTAAATTCCTAACCCAGTCAAAAAACCCTGTGGATCAGGTCTGGGAGTTTGATAGTGCTTTGCTGCTCTCTGTTCTGGCTACCTGGAACCGCAGCGTCAAGGCCCCTCTTTGGGGAAAGCTGGGTCCTTAGGGCTTACAGTGAATTAGGGTTTGGGGTTTTAGGGTTTATAGGGTTTAGGGGTTTAGGGTTTTTAGGGTTTAGGGGTACATGGGTTTAGGGTTTTGAGTTGTAGGGTTTTAGGGTTTACCTTCAGCTACCATAACCTACTTTTTTGTAGGTTCCTATTATAAACCCTAGTATGGAATTTGTAGGGACCCTACAAAAAAGTAGGTTTTGGTAGGTTAAGGTAGGGTTTAGGGATTTAGGGTTTAGGGTTTCGTTAGGGTTTAGGGGTTTAGGGCTTCGGTCTAGTCGTTTAGTAAAGTTATGTGCAAGCAATGTCTGGTGCAGCCGGCGGGCCTAGAGGCTTAGAGATGTTGGTGCTATGAGATGTGGTGTGAACTCGTCTGTGGGTGTTGATGCTAACTACAAGGATTGCCAAGCCTTTCTCTGGATTTAAGACCTCTCTGTAAATCCATAAACATACACCCCATGCCATGCAACCCTCAAGCAAAATATATACGGTATTCTAAACCCGAAATCTCCAAACCCAAACCCGCTGAATTACCCCAAAGGACGAGGAGGATCCCTGATGTTGCTGCCGCCAGAAGTGCTTTCATCCAAGCATGGAGCCCCGAAGTTCCCGAATGCTGCGCCCAAATGCTGCATAGGGTTTAGGCTTTAGGGTTTAGGCTTTAGGGTTTGGGGTTTGGAGTTTAGGGTTTGGGGTTTAGGGGTTTAGAGTTTAGGGGTTTTAGGGCACCTCTGAGCCTTGGCGGTTACTAAAGCACAATTGAAGAGCGACTGTTTATGCGCAAGATCAGACCCGGTAGCTCCCAGCCCACCCGAGCACTATTGACTCCCATAGAAATTCCTAGAGTCCTAGAAACCTTGCCTTTAACCCTGAAGGGAACTAGAGTTTAGGGATTAGGGTTTAGGGATTATCGTTTAGGGTGTAGGGTTTAGGGGTTTCGGATTTAGGGGGAACCCTAACAAAACCCGAAGCCTGGACCGCGTGGAGGCCGTCGGCCTCCGAAAGCGGTTCGTCAAAGGCGCGGCGCACTGGCTTCGAGGTTAGAGGAGAGATTCTTGGGGACTGCCCAAGAATCCCGGTACCTCTACAGTACATTAGTGTTTAGGGTTTAGGGGCTAGGGATAAACTAAAGCCCAGGCCCTGGCCCTAAGATAACACTTAAGCCCTAAAAGCCATCATCCTAAGCCCTGAACTAAACCAAGGCCATGGAAGGGACAACCGGCCCCACACGATAGTCAGCATGACTGTATGGCCCTGCGGGAAAATGTATTACATTTAATTATGTAACGTTGCGTATATACCTAAACCCCTAAACCCCTAAACCCCTAAACCCCTAAACCCTAAACCCCTAAACCCCTACAGCCCTAAACCCATGTAACCCTAAACCCTGAACCCCTAAACCCTAAACCCCTAAACCCCTAAACCCTAAAACCCCTACAGCCCTAAACCCTAAACCCATCTAACCCCAAAACCCCTAAAGCCCTAAACCCCTAAAGCCCTAAACCCCATGTAACCCTAAAACCCCTAAAACCTCTAAACCCCAAAACCCCTAAACCCATGTAACCCTAAACCCCCAAAACCTCTAAACCCCTAAAACCCCTAAACCCATGTAACCCTAAACCCCTAAAACCTCTAAACCCCTAAAACCCCTAAACCCATGTAACCCTAAAACCCCTAAAACCTCTAAACCCCTAAAACCCCTAAAGCCCCTAAACCCCTAAAAACCCATAAAACCCCTAAACCCCTAAGACCCCTAAAACCCATCCAACCCTAAACCCGTGTATGCTTCGACAGAGGCTCCGGCAACTTCTGCGAAACCGTGGACCGCCTCTGCCAGGCCGCGCGGCTTCAGGCGGGTAACCCTAAGACCCTAAACCCTATCTATAGATCCCTTATAGATCCCTTAAAACTCGAAAGGTAGCCTTGAGGATGTGTACAGGTCGCCTCATCGCAGCCAGCTCGGCACGTGCTGCTTACTCGTAAGCCCGTAGCGGTAAACATGAAGGGTTCTTGCGTGTGTTGCATGGCGCTACTCCTTGTCTTTGGACTTGGTAGCGGAGCTTCGGCTCCGGTACCAGGGCCAAAGTGGGAGCGATTTTCCCGCCGCGATCGGCGGCTTTGCTGGAGGAAATGGCAGCTACGCTGGTACAAGCGCCGCCACTTCTTCTGGACCAGACTCAGCTCCCATCTCGAGCCCAATGGTGGTTGCACAGTCGATGCGGAGTATGAGACACATTACCTTTTTCTGGTCGGGCGACAATGTGAAGATGCACACCAACTTCACTGGCATTCGAATCTCGTGTACGAGCCCGATCACATTTGGTTTCCGCAACCACCGGAATCGGACGATACGCTACAGACGACGAAACCACCGGATTCGGATGCCGCGTTATTTTATTCGGCAGCTACGCAGGACAGCGACGTGACGACGACACAGCGCGACGACACGACAACCAGGAGGAGTCAAACCGTGGGTATAACTGGAGCACCGATAGCAGTGCGCAAACATTTCAACCTTGCCAAGATACTGTTTTGCATATGCTTTTTCGCGCTCTGTGTGACATGCAGCGCAGACGCTGCAGCCGCGGCAACCGACCCAGTCCCCGTAGAGCCTAAGTCCCTAAACATCCCAGACCTTAATTCTGCGATAGCCTCTGCAGGCACGATGCAATCCAGCCCACAGGTGCTTGAATTGGGGCATGATAGGCTTAGGACCATTGGGGTCGCATTAGCATGGTTGATAGGACTCGGTTTGGCGTGCACAATTCCATGCATGATGATTCCAGGTGCGTCGGAAATGCAGGAACACTACTCCTTCAGGCAGTGGAGCCACGACATCCTTGTGTGGTCGGTGGCAGTGGAAGGCGATGCTTCACGCAAAGCAGCATTACTTACCATGGCCCTGAAGGGAGTAGCAGCGGAATACATCAAGAGCTTGCCCCCGACAGTCTTGATTAACGGTGGGGTCATCAACGGCAATGCAGCCGACCCTTTGACCTTCATCATGCATAGTCTTGCTGAAAGGTTTTCATTGCTGGGTGAAGAAGTCCGTATGTCTAGCCTCACGGATCTCTTTCATTTCAAACGCAACGTCACTACCAATGAGAAGGTGGACGAGCTCATTGCTCGTTTTGAGCTTGTGCGCCAGCGGGCCCACGATCAGGGTCAACTGACGATCTCTATTCCAGGCTTGTGTTGGCTGCTGTTGAAGGCCCTGGACGTCACAGACAGCCAACTTATGCAGCTCCTGGCACGAACAGATGGCCGCATGCCCGTCACGGAAGAGGAGTTCGCAGCCTTGAAGCTCCAATTACGAAGGATGGGGCACATCCTCGAGCATGCGCCAAATAACATAGCTAACGCGCTCAGGTCAGGACAAAGACCTACTTTTCTTGCGCAGTCCACTGAAACCCAAGCCTTCGTAGCCCAACCTGGAGTCTCGTCAAACAGTGCTACGTGGCCTGATGCTGGCACAGGCAACGCATACATGGCCCAAGATGGATACGCTGCCCAGGGTTGGGGTTCTAGTGGTTCAGGTTTTAGTGGTTGGGGTGAGTCCAGTGCAATAGCATCCGAGCCCGCCAACGCCTGGTGGACTGAGCTAGATGATGCCTGGGGCTCAGATACTGACACTGATACCGCCAGCAGCACAGGGGAGACAGTGCTTCCACAGGAAACACCTGAAGGACTCACAGACGATGCTGCTGTGGGCGAGCATCTGTTCTGGGCTTATGCTCGAGCCAAAGCGCAATGGAGGAAATTCATGGGCCGCCCCACTCGGTCTGTCCGAAGGTTCACTCGCAAGTTTATCAGTCGTAAAGGTAAAGGCAAAGGCAAGGGAAAGGGGCGTCCAAATGTTTCTGCCTTTCTGGCTTCCTTGTACGATTCAGAGGTTGAGCAACTCTTCTTAGGCATGCGCAAAGGCAAGGGCAAAGGCAAGAGGTCTTCAGGGAAGGGAAAAGGCCGACGTAGAAATCCTAAAGGGCGGGATGGCAATGTCATGAGATGCTTCAGGTGTGGCAGCGACACCCATTTGTCTCGGGAGTGTCACCTTCCCAGAACCGATGGACCCTCAGCACGCCCATCCGCCCCAACACAGCCTACCACCTTCTACACCCACGACCTACCCAATACTTCCATGCCTGCCGGAGGCCCGCTTGATGGACTCATCTTCATGGCCTCAGAGGTGCCTTCCACTTGGAGCACTGAAGACAGCTCAGCCGTGCCAGAAGGTGCCGAGGATCCCTGGGCCGACTATCTCCGGCATTATGGTACGTTCAATGCATCAGGTGCCCAGTTTTCTGAGAATGGCCCAGGAAGAAGTGCATCTGGACTAGGCGCTGATCCTCCCAGGCCATCTGCAGGACCCAGTGCAACAACCCGGGTTCCAGGTACACAACGGCCAAGTGCAACGCAGGCCTCAAGTGTTCCGAACAATCCCAACCAGGGAGGTAGCTCGCATCAGTTTTTCACTCCACCACCGCAAGTTAACAGGTTGTTGTATGAGCCACCTCCACCCAGCCTGCCTGCATGGGTCCAACTTCCTGAGTTCGGATATGTAGCCCAAGGTGCCGTAGTCCAGCCGCCACAACATGTACCCATGACAAGTGCCACGTTGCCTTCTCAGGTTGAAGGACCTTCAGCAGAGGTTCTCGAACAAATACACATGTTATCCCAAGCCACCACTCGCCGGTGGGCGGGCGAGGACATGCCACGCTCTGCCCAGGTGCCTCAGGTACAGTCTACCTTAGAGCAGGAGCATAGGGGAGCCATAGATGCTCTGGCCTATGCGCAACACATTGTTCCGGCTAGGCGTGCAGAAGTTAGAAGTCGGAATCGCCGTCAACTTCGTTTGCCAACGGCCGTGGATGCAAATCGGTATGATGCACTAGATACGTCATGTGTATTATGCCAAGAAGTTTATCTGGAAAATGACAGTGTAGCAAGGTTAGCGTGCCGCCACGTCTTCCATACGGCATGCTGGGCAGACTACATGATGCATCCTCAGGCCCGCATGGAATGCCCAATTTGCAGAGGCTCGGCCAGAGTCATCGCAAGGTTCACGTACATGGCCTCCTATGATAACCATGATCCCGCTTCTGAATTGCAGTCTAGGCCCCCATCAGTAGACACTACGCCGGATGTTTCGCCCGAGCGACAAGCTGGCCAGCATACACCACACCGTCGTCCGGCCAACTTTGATATGTCCACCCCTCCTTCAGCCAACCGTGAAAGAGAGGAGGAGCCGTCACCATACCAAAACTTTGAGTCGTTTCCCTGGTGGCCGACTGAGCAAATTCTGCATAGTACCTCAAACCATTCTTTCCAGTCCCTGCTTATAGACCCAGGTGCTTACACAAATCTTGCAGGACTGAACTGGATCCGACGCATGCAGCAATCAGCAGCCGAGCATGGTCTGGAGGCCTCCCAACAGCGTCTTGAAAGGCCGATGACCATTCAAGGGGTCGGCCAGGGGAGCCAGTCGTGCGCGTGGTCTGCCAAGGTGCCTATTGCTTTGCCTTGCATTTCAGAGGGTCAAGTGGGAGTGGCTCGGCATATCTTCGAGGCGCCTGTTGTTGCAGACTCAGGTGCAGGCTTACCTGCCCTTTTGGGTCTCAAATCTTTAAGAGAGAAGAGCGCCATACTGGTGCTAAGTTCCGATGACAGTGAGCTGCGGATGATCCTTCCGGGTGCAGAGGGGGTTAACATAGAACTCAATGCTGGTGCAGTTGTCTTCCCCCTGATCACCGCACCATCTGGTCATCTCCTCTTACGATGCGATCAGAACGTTTTTTCCTATAAAAGTGTTGTAATGTCTTTTAAAAGTGTTGTAAATTTTTTGCTTGATTATTACAAAATTTCAAAGTCCACAAATGTCACAAATCCCCAAACAGACCCGATTCAAAAAGTTTTTGCTGATTGATTAGGATGATAACAGGGACAAAGGGGTCATTGGGGGGGGGGAGAGCGGGTGTTGTTAACTTTTTTTTGCTATTGATTGGGATCACAGGGACAATGGGGTATTTGGGGGGGGGGGCGGGGCGACCAAGAAATTCTGCAATGACTCTGAACCCTAAACCCCTAGGCCCTGACCTGAGGGTTGCAGGACCTAGGGGTTTGAAATTTGATTGACTGATTATTGAGTTGCCATCGTTTGGGCTTAGGAAATCGTCTAGGACCCTGTTAGGACCTCTATGGAGGGCCTGAGCTGGTCCTAGACTCAAGTTTTATTTTGAAGTTAGTGTGACAGTGTTTTGAGCTGCTGGATGCTTGAGATTCAATTTCCACGTTGACTGAGTCTTTCAGCAGCATGCATCAGAATGAATCAGTCAGTGTTGCTTAAAGGTACCTGCTGCTGCACTTGGAGTTGCTTCTGTTGGTCCGCGAGCCATGTTTCAGCGAAGGCAAAGCAGGCAGTGAAATCAGTTCATTCAAGCTTTTTGTGCGATTGCTGAGTAGTGAGTAGGGAGTCCGCACTGATTTCACTCACTCACCAGAAGCAGTAGGTCTTAGGCGATAGCCGTGAGCAGCATGTCCGATGCAGAAGTGAGTCTTCCACCTTCGGTTGGCAGTGACCTGTCAGCACCAGGCGGCTCAGATGGTGAAGTTTCTCTGCCGCCATCCGTCAACGGTTCCGATGACCCAGGGCCTTCATCCGGAGCCAAGGGTTCGTCTTGTTGCCGGAATGCTTGCCTGGAGACTTGGCGAGAGAAAGCTGAGGAGCTGCAGTTGAAACTGCAAAACCAGAGTTTTCATGAACGGCAAGCCTTGATCTTTGAAGAAGTGAAACGTGTGGTGAAAGAGAACAGTTCCAGTCCCAGCGATGATGCTGCCCCGGCTGCTGGCACTGGTCGTCGCTACTTGAAGTGGAGCATGTTCGGGGCATCAGTTTGCCGCATCTTTTGTGAGAGACATTGCTTCCAGTGCAACCCGAAGAGCCTGGACAACATGATCAAGCTCGCTCGTTCTGGGCTCGTAGAGCTTCCGGCAAGGGGGCCAAGGCTGCAACGAGAGAGCAAAACGGGCGATGCTTTAGATGTCTGGTTCCTCGATGTCTACTTGTATCTGGCAGAACCATTAGCTGTGGAAGGATCTGAGGGCAGTCTGCCTGTTACCGTTGCTGCCGGGGAGCAACATGAGATTGTGCATGACGATTCTCATCCACTGTATTCCATCAGTGTCAACCTTGATGGCAAGAAGTCTGCCATGATACCGAAAAGATACTTGAATTTTGCCACGGCCGAAGACTTCTGGCGCTTTTACGTTGTCGATGTGGCAAAGGATCAGCAGTGCAGTCGAAAGACCTTCTTTCGTGGGTACGAGCGATGGAAAAAGTTTGTGCCCTTGAAGGATCCTGGTGAAGGGACGAAATGCAGCATCTGTGCTACGTTGGCAGAACAAAAGGCCCAATGCACCAGCAAGATGGAAAGGGAACAGGTCGATCTGGACCTGAAGGACCACTTGGAGCGAGTCCGGGGAGATCGAAGTGTCAACAACCGGACGAACAAGCAGGGCTCCGAGAAGGATGTGTATTTGTGCAAGGACAGGTACATGAAGGTCATGATCGACGGCATGGATCAGGCTAAGTTTTGCCTTCCTCGTCACAAAAAGCTGTCAGCGACCAGTGATGCCTCGAAGCGATGGAGACCGGCTGTTCATGTCACAGGAGTCATTACATGGGGTTTGCAAGAAATCTATTTCGTGCTTCCGAGCAGTGTCCCCAAGGACGCCAACATGAATGCGACCATTTTGGCTCGTTGCCTGGACCTGGCACAAGAGTCCTTGGAAGAAGGCCAGACACTGCCGGAGAACCTCTTAGTGCAAGTTGACAACACGCCGCGAGAATCGAAGAACCAGCATTTTGCATTGTTTCTGTCGTTTCTGGCCTCGTCCGTCTTCAAGAGTGTTGAGTGTCACTATCTCCAAGTCTCCCACACGAAGAATGAGCTGGACCAACGTTTCAGCACTCTGGCCAGCATCATCAAGCACGCCGAGTCCATCGAGGATCTTGGTGAGTTGCGGGATTACATGCAGCTTCACATGACCACAGCCTTGAACAGGAAACTTGTTGTTGAAATACTTCAGAACACGTGGAATTTTCGAGATTGGTTGGCTTCCACTGGCCTTTCGCTCAGTGGCCTCGTCAGCACTCGCTTGGAACCCCATGCGAATCATGTGTGGAGATTCCAGAGAAGGCTTGAACTTGATGTGACTGTGTCAGGGCCTATTGTGTCGGAGCTGAAAAATGTGACCCCTGACGATGGGGACGTGGTGCTCGTTGTGAAGCAGTTCATGTGCTCGCCAAGGCCCTCGCAGGATCCTATCCTCATGTTGCCTTTGCAAGCAGCGAGGACTTTGAAGAGCCGGGACTTGACAGTCTCGAGCCCGAATTCTTTCTCCGCTCAGACTCTTTCGGAGTTTAGGAAGACTGCCAAGTGGGTAGCTTCGCCACCTTGGTTGCTTCTGCAAGGCCAAATGTTTTTGGAAGACATGTGCGACCTGAATGAAAAGGGCCAGACCCACGGCGAGCCTCCCAAGCTTCAGTTTGTTTTTGGCGGTGATCGTACTGTCATCGATGGGCCTATGCTTGCAGAGTTGGAGCCTTCAGCCGCCCCAGTTCCTCGCGAGGTTCGGGTCCTTCCGAAAAAGCGGGCCAAAAAGAGGCCAGCTGCGGCGGCACCCGCCAAGAGGCCTGCCATGGCTTCAGCTGCAAGGGCGGATGGGCCATCGGAACCTCCTGCAGCTGCTGGTGCTGCCGAGGGCAGCGAGGACAATGCTGCTGTCTCTGAGGTTGCTGCGGTTCCTGCCCAGGGCAGCATCAATGAGGATGGTGCTGATGCAGAGATGCTTGGATCAGACAGAGAGCAGGACCAGGAGGTCTCCGGGGCCGCTGCTGCTGCTGCCGAAGTTCCAGAACCAGGTCCACGTCCTGGAGCACAGCCTCCAGCAGCAGCTGTGGGCCCTGGCCGTAAAGTTCTGCACTTTGGTTGCTCGAAGTGTCGGAAGAATCCGCAAGGATGCCCTGGTCGCTGCCGAAAATTCGCCGCCGAAGGGAAGAATGATTATGGCTATGATGAGCATGGCAATGTAGTTCGCTTTGAGCCTGCTGAGTAAACAGTAGACTGAACAGACTAATAGCCACAGGCTCGGCTGCTGTGAAATCAGTTTCTGCTGGCCAGTTTTGATGGCTCCGTGTCAGAGAGCTTGAAGACTTCTCTGTTTGAACTATCACCTGCTGCCAGCGGTTAGGATTGAAAAAAACCCTGCATTGAATTGTGACTGTGACGGTGATATATGAAATTCTCAGCCACGGTGAGACTCAGAGTAGACCAGGACCAGTAGATATCTTCAAGGTGATTCAAGGATGTCTCTGCCCACCATGTCGCCCGAGGTCGTCGTTTCTTTTGGTGATGCCATCATCAGCAAGGGATGGCCGCATTGTGACAAGCTTGAAGTCATCTCCGAGACCCTCCGGATGACAGAAGACTTTTGGTCCCAGAGCCCCCGCTGGGGGTCACAATTCCACTTTGTGATCTGCCTCTTCACTTGTGTGCGGTCCTATGTGGAAGGAAACGGCCGGGCTCGACTCGATGATCCTACGGACGACTATGAGGTCCCTTGTTGGCATCCTCATCCGGGGCCATGTGGCAGTGTGTATTATTATG